CGATTCGCATGTGTTTTCTGATTCCTGTATTTATATGGCGTCGTGCCGCCCTCGAATGACAGGCTGGTTCTGGTACAAAATCTCCCGTGCTTGGTACTCCGGCCCGGGGCCTCTTTCGCTTACGCTCTCCCTGTTCGGTCTCCCTTCGGGCGGTTTTTCTTTAGCTAGCCTCTGACTCGTTGCGTGTTGTTTCGGACGGCTGCCTACAGGCGCACGCGCGCTGCGGTAAGTCCCTCGTAACCGATACCGCGCTGATTGGCTTGTTAGTTTTGCGCACGTTCGTCTACGACGCTCGCCGCCGCTCCGACGAATCACCCCTCCACACCCGGTCACAACAGACTCTCGAGTGGACGCGTCTGACCAGACAGATATCGATCCTGCTATCGAAACACGAAAAATCTGATTTGGAGTCACGGGGTGATTCCGAGCTTGGACAGCTCTTGCAAGATCATCCCTACGCAGCGCAAGCGTTGTATGGGAGAATTTGGGGTCAAATGGATGTGAAACAGCTATGTAGCTGGCCGTTGATAGGTGCGCCATAGGGAAGTCTTGAAGCGTGATGGAATTGATAATTACTTGCCCTTTCCTTGCATAGTTCGAGCGTACTCTCAAGGAAAGTTCGCTTTCGGGAACACGCACGACCGGGAACTCGTCTTCGTAGCATGGGTTCGGGGATGCGGACGAGACCCGGAGGTCAATGACCAAGGAGCTGAAGACGCAGATTCAATGCTTGCAGCTGGCTTGTCACGACTGATCTGCAAAATTGAGAGGCCGTTCGAACACGAGGAACTGGCGCTTTCCCATGAAAGTCGGTATCCCATGTTAACTGCATCCGCTCCCTCACGGAGGATGACTTCCCTCGGCCGACAGAATTCTTGTTTTTCTTGACATATGCACGCAAGGAGCTGCATGCAAGTCAGCCGGGCCAGTGTCCAGCTGGTCCTTTAGCAGTCGCAGTCCTGCTCTGCGCTAATGCACCGGGGCAGTCCTACCGACAGAGCTGCAGAACGCAGATGTGGGAACTAGTCGACCACGTCTACCGGGATTGGCAGACCGCCAACCCGCGGAACGCAACCGGCCGCGCGTGTCTCTTGATGCACATCGCGTTCCTGATGAACATACACGAGCAGCCCAGCATAAATCCTATGGGAGATGGCGAAGAACTGAGTCAGCTGGTACAGGATCGCATTCTTGCTATGCGTACTGCACAATGCATCCTGGAGGACGATGCCTTGGATGGTGACAAGGGCGCAGAGCTAGTGCGTGTCTGGCCAGTGATAGGTGCGAATCCAGCTGACGGTAGCGTATCCCGCGGATGTTACTGATGCACTACGGCAGTTCATAGCTTCCCCAATAACAGGAAGAGACGGGACGCCTTTGTCGCTTGGGCCTCGACATGCTTCCACCCTGCCGACACAAGATGTCGGGATTCGGACGCGGACGCGAGTGCCGTGGCGGCTTTATCTCGATTGATGTTTTACATCAAGGATCCATTCGAATCTGAGTATCTCGCACTGGCACCTACAGAAAGTGAGCATGCAGACTGGTAGTGCTGAGAATGGCTCGCTGATGGAGAGCGTCGCACGTCAGGGGTATTGTTCCATCTTCAATACGCTCTTCAGCAGGTGGAAGCGTACGCAGTTGACGACAGCGCGATGTACTCTTGCGCCGTTGCTCTTCTGCTATGCGCTTCGGCGCCGGAACCCTGCTACCAGGAGCACTATCGCCGCACGGCCTGGATGCTGATCGACACGGTATTCGCCTGCGTCATGTCGAGATCGTTGTGGGTCGACGAAAGGATAAGACAATGCATACGGGATCACATTGCGTTTCTGTTGCGGAAGCACGACCATGGCGATCTGAGAGGCGATCTGGGTCCCGGCATACTGCAGTTCTTGAACGCTGAACCTACGATGTCGGTGAGCCTGGAATGGGCCATCGAGATCGGAGGTATCATCAAGGAACATGTCGACCTGGAAACACTCGTCGCCGATGCACACCCGGATGGAATCATTAGTGTGTATTACTCTCTCATTCGATTACTGTAGCCCCTCCTGGTCAGCACGATGCGTGGCCGCGAGCGGCACACCTGGCCAGTCTGTAAACCGAGAAGCGACCTTTGATTGTAAATTTCCGACCTGTAGACTGTCATATCATTACGCACACGGAGGGATTGCAACCGGATACTCGAGGCTTCCCAAAACGTAGTAAGGAGTCGACAAACGCATCTCTCGCCCTCGTCATCTGGTGATTGACGACTATTCGCCTGCGTCATGAATGGGCCGTCGAGGAGGTATCATCAAGACACATGGCAACCTGAAAACATTCGTCGCCGACGCACACCCGAATGGCACCTTTGGTGTGTGCTACTCTATTCTCCGATTGCTGTTGTTTCCCCCGGCCAGCACGGGCGCACCTGGTCAGTATGTACTCGAAGAAGTAATCTTTTAACACGAGTCTCCTACATGTCATGTCAGTATACATACACTCGGACTGGATTGTAAACACATGTTTCAGGCGTCCCGCGCGCATACAGTAAGATGTAGTTGACGTTGAGACAGACCAACGATCTGCGGTAGGAGCGACACTAAAGTAAAACGTTCAGTCCCGGAGAATCGGTCGTTGCGCATGCTCACCGCTCCTGCGGTGAGGATATGTGACCCAGCTCCTCTCCTTGTCGCACGAGACAGACGGGTTCCCTTCAATATCGAAGAAACTCTGCGCAGCGATATACAAAAGAACGCACCCACCAGCACGCCCACCCAGTTCCTCATCAAAGTCCGTCCGAAGCTCAAGCAGGTCCGCCACTGTGCGCGACCTGACCCCGCATCACATCGCCCTCGCTCGTGCACGCGCCCCGCCCAGCCCCCGCCCCCGCTTCAACACGCCGTCCCCCAAAGCCCTGCGCTCCGTCCTCTCCTCGCCGGCCGCCGGCCCGTCTACTGGCCTCCCCGGCGCCCCCCCTCCACGTTCGTCTCCTAGTCCGCGTCCCCGCCCCCGCCCACGTCCCGGTGCGTGCCCGTGCCCGTGCCCGTGCGCGCCCCGCCGCGCGCCGCGGCCGAACCGGATCGTGGACGGGACGAGCGAGAGCGCGTCGAGGGAGGAGGTGAGTGTGTCGACGGGGTTGGAGGATGCGGCTTTTGGCCTGCTCTGGGTCCTAGCTGTGTCCGGGCTGGGTGGTGCGACGACGGATTGTGCGTCTGCGCTCGTGGCCGGGGCGCCACCCGCGTCCTGCATCCTGTCCGTCTCGACGTCCCTCATGCGCGGCGGATCGTCATTGTCGCTCTCCCCTGTGTCCTCCCCGGCCTGGTTGTCTCCGCCTGTGGAATCGCGCGGCTGCCACGTTCCCCGCACGAGGCTCGCGCCCTCGCCCCACCGCTTGAGCAGCCCGCCGACGCCCTTGTTGGTGACGGCGAAGAAGTACGCCTTGGGGTAGCCGTGCGCGCTGATGAGGTGCAGGCGTCGTGCCTTGGGCGTGAGGAAGCGGCGCGGGCAGGTCTGGACGTGACATGCGAACTGCGGTCGTCGGAGCGTAGGCAGGGGATGAACCGTGTAGAGTATTGGTAGGTTAGCAGGCTGGTCGATAGCGTGGAATGGGAGGAGACTGGGACGCACGATCCTCTCCCCGCGGTCCTTGCGCACGGCCGCAAGCGGGTCATGGCACTCCGTTTGGTGCTGCGGTGGCCATCAGCTACTCCCGCGTCGTCGTCTCGCCCGCGCAGAAGCAGCTCGCGCACTCACCAGCTCGAGCAGCCGCGCGTCGGGGAAGACGCATCCGCATCCGCGCTCCTCGCACACGTGTGCGTGGTACGTCGCGTAGTGCGCCTCGAGGGCGTGCGTGTCCGCGAGCGGGGTCGGGTGGTTGTGTGGCGGGTGGCACGTCGGCGGGAGCGTGCAGAGGAGCGGGCGGTGCTCGGGGCCGGATGTGGAAGTCGATGGCAGGGTGCGTTGGGCCTTGGAGGGAGGAGAGGGGGGCGGGGAGGGCAGAGGTGTCGTGGGCGATGGCGAGGAGGCGCGGGCGCGTTTGCTAGCCATCTTGGCTCTGGAATGTGGACTTGTCGTGCAGGCAGAGCAACAGACGGTAGAGAGTGTCGCAGGTGCTCAGACAGCAAAGTCACTGCCGCACACGGAGTCGAGGTTCAGAGCAACGGGCGAGTGGGCATCTGTCCGTAGCCAGGCGCACTACCCCATCACATGCCACGCAGAAGCAAAACCTATCGTCTGAGAAACTACGGACAGATATAAGCGAAAGTCCCATGGCGGGACTCCGTACGACAACTTGTCGCATAAAAACTGAGACCCGGAGCAAGGAATGGCCAACGCCAGGATCGAACTGACGACCTTGGCATAACACCAACGGGTATTAGTACCACGCTCTAACCAACTGAGCTAGTCGGCCAGTACAAATTGCTCGACCTGGAAATCTCACGGCGTGCGCTCCCCAGGTGTCCGAACAGCTTTGCAGAAGATCCTTTGGTGCTTCCGAGGCGGGAGGTCTCTGTGCTAAGCTCCGCCCAACAACAAGGCTTACTGCTAAGATATAGGGCTGTAAGGACTCCTCTGGTACGTGTTATCTTATGTTTTGCAAGCATGGCTCTTTGCAACTCGGTTGCTCTGCCCTGCTTCTAGAGCGTAGAATCTGAACTCCCAACTTCCTCTTTCTTTTGCATTGGCTAGTTCTCTTCCTAAACAATCCGAAGAGATTGTGCAGCCAGTTGCATGTTAATAACGAGCTATTGTCTTTATTAGGCTGAAAATATTCAAAGCAGCTTCTAGAATAGTAGAAATATTGTGACAAGTTTCGTATTTGCTATGCCAAAGTGTTGAAAAAATATACCAAAGCTATTTTAAAGGTTATTAAAATAGTTCCAGCGCTTATTTTGCAAGATTATAGCATTATTATTGCTTCAATTTCCATCATATCTTTTGCATATTTCCAGCAGAAACATAGGTAGGGTACCAGGCCCCGGGATGCCTGCGAGCAGTGTCCGGAAGCAGGCCCGGTTTTTCCCATAGTCAACGCTACTGCTGATTGCAAGATTGCACTTTATATTCTGTAGCAGCCAGTATTTATACCCAGAGCACTGGGACGAGTTGTAGAACCATTTTTGTTAGAACCGAAAGCACAAGGGCCATCTAGAGTGCCTTGAGCAGAGTTTCATCTCAGACATGCTTTTTGCATGCATCATATCAACCTCTTTGGCTGCACCATTCTCATGCTCTTATATGTCTATCATCACCATTGATAGTATACCGAATGGCTTCAGTGACCTTCTCAACTGCTGTGCAGGCATTTGCACATGATTTTGGACCTGGACAGCAGTACATGAACACCCAGAACCATTTATGCTTAGTGATTCTGATGTAGAGGCAGGGTAAAGATAAATATTAAAGGTCTTGTTGCTTGCAAAAATTTTGCGATCCACAGCTCATTTGTACAATAGCAATCCATGTTTATCCTCAGTTGACAGGACGTCTTGTGAAATCTACTATCCAACTCATCACAGGTGACCATACCGAGTATAAGTCCTTCTACTTGAAGAAATTGAGTGTCTTGCAGTGGGATTCGAAATCCCCACAGTGTGTGTGGCTGTAGCCATGTCTTTCACTGTTCTATAGCCTAATCTCTGGCACATTAGCAAAATTCTGTCCGGAACGTTACTCAATATTCACTAGACACCCTTGGGAAGTTTGAAGCTGCTTATCGCAATAACATTACATTATGATGATTTTATAGAGCAAGTAACCAGCAAAATGAGCAACATGCTAGATAAGTATGTATCCCTGCCATATGAGGCTCTTGGACTAATATCTTTTTAGAGCACAGGTACAAGCATGACCATAAGCATGCCAAGGCCACCATGATCTTCATATCAAAGAGAGTATATCTGAGCGAGTGTGGTGATCAGGGACCTCATTGCTAAAGATTTGTGTTTCAAAGTGTAATATCTGATGAGAAGACATAAAGGATATTGTTGGAATTGCTAGTAGATGCGAGAGCACTTTTGATTGTCTTGGAAGGTCCAAGATTATTCTTGAAGCTGTCAACAATTATAGAGGGGCGCTCGCTTCAGTGAGCGATTTATTCTTACCTGACTAGACCATAGTTCCAATGCCAGTTCAGCTGCATCCTATAGTTAAACCTGTCATCAGCTATATCAAGGAGTATATAGGGTATATATCTTTCTATCCCTCCCACAATCTCTATGTGGATTGATACTGCAAAAGGAGCAAAAAGACAACAATGATATTTTAGATTTCATTTCTGACATGTTTAATATAATCAACTATATCTTTGATGTGGAGCAGTTCACCACTATTACACAGCTCAAGGAAGTGATCGACAATACGAAGGGGTCAATGAAGGATGCATCCGACCTTGTTATAAAGAGTGCTTAATGAAGTTACTTAAGTATGTGTTTTTTCTTTGATAGATGTATTGTTTTGCCTGTATTTATATGCTACCCAAAAAGGGTGCTATATTTGTTCTTATATCCAGTAACCAGAAGAAGATCGATGTCATGAAAGCCAGGTTTACTCGCTTTAATGAGAAATTCGACCGTAGTGTCAATATACAAAGCACTGAAAATGTGGACATAATTAGAACATGGCTCGAGAAGTTTGGTATATCTATACACATTTTCTGATACCTATCGACAACTAATACGGTCATTTAGCATCAGTGCAGGAAGACTACACATATTTAAAGGAGCTTAACCTAGGCTACACTAAGTTGGATCCACCACACTGTCTCTTAGAAATGTGGAAGGATATACTCTTGACGATTGGAGAATGGACGAATGATATCAATGTGTCTAATGTCTTGTGGATTAGTGCATATCTAGGCGCTAGAAATCAACCATCATATTTATTATTGCTGTAGAGCTAGAGCGATCACATTGTATAGGTGCTATCTTTGCCTTTGATTGGAACTCCAGGACAAGCCCATTTGTTCACTGGCATCATATCACATTTTCCTTTGCCCACCAGTATTCTAATTGCAGGGACCACATCATCATGACACTGAAAGGACACTCCTCTGTCTTTACAAATATGACAGCTATCGAAATATTCCAACAACTGGTCATTGAGCCGCTTCAGCAGTGAAACATTTCACTTTCAAACATCCCATATGTCAGACTTCCTATCATTATCATTGACGCTCTCGATGAATCTGGCAGTCTTGATCGATCAAGCATCAAAGCTTGCAGAGACATTCTATCCCACATCGTGGAGTGGTTCAAATTGTTGCCTCACTTCAAGCTCATCATTACTAGTCGCATTGAAGATGATATCAAACATGTGTTCTCCAATATACACCACCAATCCTTTATCATTAGCACCAGCGATACTGTTAGCTCCAAGTTGACTGAAGATATATAGCTGTACATCTAATCTAGGTTCAGAGAGATTTCAGATAATCACCCCAACCTGCCCATAGATTGGCCTGGGGATGATGTGGTAGACGATCTCACGAGGCGTGCATTAGGCATTTTCATTTGGATGGTCACTGCTCTTAGCTACGTCGAGAGCTATCCTAGCAATGAACGGTTGAACATTGTGAAAGATGGTACATTGCCTTTTAGAGATGTGCATGCTCTGTATTACCAGGTCTTAACAAGGTCATTTTCGGGATACAGCTCTTATGAATGTGCAAAGGTCATTGATCTGGTTGGCACCGTTGTCATTACTCAGCTCTCTCTCACCACAAAGGAATTTGGCCTTTTTCTGAATATAGGTACTATAGTAGACAACATCTATGATGGGCTTCTTTTTGTGCTTGCAGATGAAGAAACACTTCAGTTCATACACCAATCATTTGTTGATTTCATGCTCGGTAATATAAACCAATCTGCCAACGACTCCATCGATGACGAGTTATCATGTTTTGAGGACTTTTGCATTGACCTCACAAATGCCCACTGTTTCATAACAGAGTCGATGTTTCGGCTCATGAATAAGAGACTTCAATTCAACATCTGCAACATTGAGTCTTTGTTTGTGACAAATGCGGTGCTTTCCCAGTCTTAGGTGGAGAATGCCATCGACTGTTCACTTTCATATGTATGCTGGTTCTGAAGATTTTATGTGGAGCGATCTGCACATATCACGACTCCGGCTTTATTATATATAACAATCTTTCTGCAGGAGAAGTTACTATTCTAGCTCAAAGCTCTGGAAGTTTTTGGCGCAGTGAACACTGCTGCTGCTGCACTGGCTTTTTTTTACACAAAGCTGCAAGTAACCAAGCATACAGTAAGTGCAAATATAGTCGATATAGTCTACAGGGTGAATCAACTGAGCGCATTGTTTTGAGTTGTACAGGATCAGGTAGCTGAAGACAAGATCAGTATTCTTAAGGATGCTCTCAAGTTTGTGCTGTATTTTGTGCCAGCTATTGCAGAAAGTGCACCCCATATTTACATCTTGTGTCTTCCATTTGCTCTGAGGTCTTCTACTGTTGCAAACTGCTACACACCCAAATTCAGGGGCATAATATCTTTGCAGCGGGGCCAACTGCTAGACTGGCCTGTAGAACAGACTGTTATATATGGATATGACAAATTTGTGACCTATATCGTGTTCTCCCCTGATGGCCAGCGAGTCTTTTCAGGCTCCTTTAATAGGACAATATTGATCTAGGATGCAGAGACAGGGCAGGAAATGGCAGGGCCATTTAGCAGGTATGAAGGAATGGTCACCTTTGTCATGTTCTTGACTGATGGCAAGCGAGTCATTTCAGAATTGTGGGACAAGACCATATATATCTGGAATGCAAAGATAGGATGAACAATAGTAGGACCATTCACCAGGTGCGAAGATTTGGTCACCTCTGTTGCATTCTTACCTGATAGCAAGCAAGTCACCTTGGGCTCATTGGGCAAGACCATACATATCTGGAATGCAGAGATAGGATGGACGGTGGTGGGGCCATTCAGCAGATATAAAGGAACAATTATCTCTGTTGCATTCTTAACTGATGGCAAGCAAGTTATCTTAGGATTGCAGGACAAGATAATCCAGATCTAGGATACGAAGATGGGACGGACAATGGCAGAGCCATTCAAGGGGCACGAAGGAGTGGTTAACTCTATCACATTTTCATATGATGGCAAATGAGTTATCTCAGGCTCAGAGGACAAGACCATACAGATCTGGGATGTGGTGACGGGATCAACAATAGCAGGGCCATTCAATGGGTATAGAGGACCAGTCATCTCTGTCACATTCTTGCCTGATGATAACTAAGTCATCTCGGGCTCAGAGGATGAGATGATACTGATCTAGAATGTAGAAACGGGACAAGCAATGACAGGGCCGTTTAAAGGGCATAAAGGACAGGTCAGCACTGTTGCATTCTCACCTGACAGCAAGCAAGTTATCTCTAGCTCACATGAC